TTTGTGCCCCGGCATAACCAAACGGGGACACCGAAAAGAAAAGAGTATACACAAACGTTAGAAAGCAAGATCCAAGTGGGCGACCTCTTGAGAGGAAGCTGCGGGCCACACAGTAAAAAACGGCATGCGATTGTGCTCAGACGCAGAAAGGCAGACAGAGTAAGAGGCAAATATCCTTACCCCGAGGTCCCTGCTCTGCCAAGCAAGGGCCAGAATGTCGGAAGCTCTGATGTAGGAGACGCGCCAAGCACCTGCAGTTGTACACAGAGAACACTGCACAGACCGAGCTAGGACCTGACATCCCTTGCAGCAAGCGTAAGCAAAGGACGGCTCACGCTTAGCCAAATATGATCTGTTGCAAAGGCCAGGGCAGTGCCCTGCCGAGGTGGGCAAAGCCGGAATCCTTGTGCACGAGGTTTTTGGAGAACGGCGGCGCGAAAGAAGAGTGCAAAGGCAAGAAGCACCAATGACCCTCAAAAATGGCGTGGAGGTGCTGCACAGCTCGCGGATAGAGCAAACAGAAAGGCTAAATAGCAAAGCCCCTGCTGACACGCACTGGAATCAATGCTCCAAACCTGAATCTGAGAGGTACGCATAGAAATCGCAGGCTCGGAAGCCCGGAATGCCAAAGGCGGGCAGTGGCCTCCCAAGTGCAAGAAAAGGTTGCATGCGTACAGGAATTATTTTTACCTCTGTCCCTGTTTAAGCTAGGGAGGGTAGGAAGTGCAACGAAGGGGGGACTCCCTGAGACATGGACAGATCAGCGTATCTGGCAGCCTGAAACGACATTCATGAAGAGCTCCACGCAATGCTGAAACACAGGCAGAAAGGTTGCTGAAAGCTGCTGCATACGCGTGCACACAAAAAGGGGCCAGCGCGCCCAATGTGGAGCCAGGCTATCAGCGCGAAATGACAGAAAGGGGGCTGACCCGCGAGCCCTTAATGTAGAAAAAGGGGAAGCAAGTGCACAGGGTCCACACGCAGAGTAAAGCCTCTGACCCTTATTCTCTTCAAAGCAAAGTCCCTTGGGTCCATGCTCAGGGTGACGAGTTGACGGAAGAGGCCAGGCAGGCGTAATGTGGACCATCTGCTGCTCTCCGCGAGAGCAACGTGCACGACCCCTAATGGGCAAAGACAGTTGAAGGCTACATACCATACCCTAAAGAAGGCGTCCTGACAAAGTTAGAGGCATATGCAAAAAGCTGCTGATGCATACTAAAGCTAAGCTACATCGAAAAAAGCGAAGCTACCAAGCGATGCAATGCAAGCTGCATGATTTGGTGTGTGGCTTGAACCAAAGGCAACAAAGTACGGTGTTCTTTCACAACAGTAAACAGACATGAGTAAACACATGAACCGGCTTGCAAGCGACCACGGATTTCCAGCTCCCTGTCTGCCAGAACGTCCTCAATTCGTTCTGCCACCATGACAAGTTGGTCCATACTCAATGTACGGACCCACATCTCAAACGATCTCATCTGCAACGCGGTGACCCTGGGAGGTGCGTCCATTGCAAAGCAGTTGAGAAGAAGCTTGGGCCGCCACACTACGAACTCAGGGGAGATGTGAGCCAGATCGTACAGTGTCACTGTACAACAGCAGCGATCCTTCAATGCTGGGTGGGAGGGCGGGACTTGTTATTCTGCTCACCTGACTCTCCAGGCGCTCTCTCAGGCTGAGCCAAAATTTTCTCACACATTCCATGGTAAAAAAATTTGTCTCAAAATAAAGGTTTGTACTCAAGAGCACAATGCCCTTATTTTGTTCTCAAATTCACGCCATGAATATATTCTCCATCCTTTCTATCACTCAATACTACACATTCAATCCAGTCGATCCATTTTCCGAGGAAGGGCACAGAACCAATCGCCTGTCTGACGCAGGTCTTCTGTCTCACTGGCACTGGGTGCAAAACACGAAAAGCCCCTCCTAGGTAAGGGGAGAAAAGAAGACAGAAGTCCCTTCCTCGGTCAGGTAGCCTGGTTAACAAAGCGGTGTGCTTGTCTTAACACCTCACGCAAAGTTTCCACAACAACGTCATCGTGAATCCTGCCAGAATTTGGAAGACCCAAGAAGCAGCCGCGACTCGGTGCGTCAGCTATGTTGCTGCGTGAAGGTACACGCGCGTACCATGGGATGCAGGATAACTCGACCGCATGGACAGCCGAAATCTTGGCCACGGCATCTAGCATAGCATTCTCGCTCTGCATCCGAAGCAGTGTCATTGTCAAGGTAGAAAACAACATGACGTTGTAGCAGCACGGTCGCACATAGGCGGACACACAGTGCAACCGTTAGGCTTTCTAGCTCGTTGATGCACTTGCTTCCGTCACGTAGGATGTCCTCAGCTACATCACGGGGTAGCATGAGTCCAAACCACCCTAAGGTGGTTCCTTCCTGGTCCTGAACCACTGCCCCAAGCCCCATGTCAAGATTGTCTGCTCCCTCCTGAAATGCATCTGTGTACACAAAAACGACATCTCGCAGCGCTGGCCTTAGCCGTCTGGGTTGCGCGCTTGTCAAGAACTCCAAGACTCTGTGTAGGGATGTGGCCACGACCCCTCGATTCGTCCCGGCAGCTGACACAGCTGTAGTTACTGCCCGTAGCAGAACCCGGGGCAGTCTTCCGGGACGATGATCGATCTGTTGTTGTCTCGAACACAGAAGAAAGAATTCTTTTTTTTTTAATGCGGACGCCTCTTTACTACATCAGTAGCACAGTAGGCCGTTCTTGTGGGTCTCGCAACTAGGTGTGAAACAGATCGCCGTGAGAAGCAAGAAGAACAAGAAAGACGAACAACACCACCAACCGAAGCAACAACAACACACCACCCAGCAACCAAGCGAAGCAGACAAGGAAACCAAGAAGAAAGGGCGAAAAAGCTAAGAAACTCCCCACGCGCTCAGAACGGGCTCTGAAGAGGCCTGACTGGGCGGCATGGGCAGCCCGGAAAGATACCACCTGCAATCAGAGGCGGTCCACCAGTCAATGGCGTGCAAGGAATGCCTGGAGGCCGGCAATAGGCAGGTCCAGATGTTGGACAAGATGTGGCTCAAGGAGACCAGGCAGTGCCAACGGACATGCAGAGGCAGGAGTGCGGCAATGGGCAGGCCGTGCAAGGCAAAGACATGGGCATGTGTGCGCTGCAGGGGCGTCATGTGCAGAGAACACTGCCGGCGGCATTGGGTGTTCTGGCACCGAGAGCAAAAGGAGCGCATGGGCGGCGTGAAAAGCATGTTGACCCCGCGGCGTGGCCCGGCAGGAAGGGGAGGCAAAATCTGCGCTGCATTGCTCAGAAGCCAAAAGGAGCTGCCGGAACATGACCTGGGCGGGCATGTTGGGTAGGGCTTAGGGGGGCAGGTTCCGTTCGAGGCGGTTGACACGATCTTCTAGGTTAAGGATTTCTCGGCGTATCCTGGCGAGGGGGTTGGCTTCGTAGGGCAAGGCCGCCATGCGTCTGGCTATGTTAAGCTGTGCCGGCATGGGCTCAACCGTGGCGCTTAGGCGGAGAAATTCGGCCTGGGCCCGAATCTTATATGCTAAGAAATCCGAAGCCAGCAAGTCGAGGTCCTCTGTTAGGCGGGCATGAGCTAAATGGGCTTGGGCTAGGGCATTAAGGGCTGAATTAAGCAGTGAGTTGCACACAGCGAGGCTGTGTTTAAGGTGCTCGGCTTGGCCGCCGAGTAAGCGTGAGTGGATCTCTTGGGCTCGGAGCTGATTGTGCTGGGCAGGGCTGTCACCGAAGCTGCAGGGCATTGCGAAGATGTAGGCTGCGATGAGGTCGGGCATCCAGTGGGAGCATGCGCTTCTGGCGGGCGTCTCGAGGGCGTAGTCGGCATAGAACTCGGGCATCCAGTGGGAACCTGTGCAGTCGAGAGACCCTCAGGCGAAATGTGCACCATAGTAGAGCGCGGCAGGCTCTGAGGCATGTCCTCCGAGCGTTGCCACAGAGCGATGCGTCTTTGATGCAAGTGGAGCAGCTGTTGCCAGCTGCTACAGTAGTCTTCATCCGAGGCGTCTTGAGCTGTCCGAGTAGGCATGGGACTGTTCGAGGCCATGGGCGCGGGCGACTCTCTGGGCAACACAGAGAGAAAACACCGGGCTTACTGGGCCTGAAACCTCTCGAAAGCAACTAGGGGCGTAGCGCCTCGAAAGAAATGCTCACACTCTATGCTTGGCCCCAACTCGGGTTAGGTCAGGGCCAGCTGAGCCAGGAGTCAGCTGGGCATGGGCAGACATGGGTGGTCATGATTCTTTCTTTCTTTCCGACGCTGCGAGGGGTGAACTTCGCTATGCGAGCTACGTCATGTACAAGAATGTACACGGCTCTTCTAGAGAGCAAGTTTGGCAGCTGCCACTGCACCCGACCCGAAGGTCCCGTAAGCAGCGCAGTCACCGAGGCCACTCAACATGTAAAACACACGCACTTTTACTTCGAGAGCCAAAAGCCTTGTATCGAGCGTAAAGCTTCAGAGCAAAATCTACATGGAAAATATGGGGTAAATGGGTAGTTGAAATACTTGCACCCCTCCTCGAGACAGCTTGAGTTCCACACTCATGCTCAGTCTCGCCCCAAAAGACTTCACTGCGATGCATGCCGAAAATCACGTTGATTTCCTGTTGCTTTGCAACTTTGCATGTTCATCACCCACTTGAAACACCGAAAGAAATGTTGATAGAGTTACACTGTACATCTCAACTGCTCTGGGTCCCTTCTGGTGAATCTTGTTCTTGGTTCTAGTCCCAGAGTCGCTTACGTTGAACAACAAGGTGCCACACATGCACATCTTTGGGTGCTTTCTTCATCTAGATGCATGGCACGTTACGGAGAAAAGAGCTTCGGCTTCTACTTAAACTGCGCTGATGCACTTTGCACCACAAAAGCGACTTGTTCTGCAGGAGAAATGAACTGACAGCTACTCCTACCACGGGCTCATGGAATGTACAGGAAAACAAGCCACAGGTCAGGGATGCTACCTCTCATGTATGAACACTTTCATCACTTGTCACATCGCTGGTGTCGTGGAACTCGGGCATTGGCATCACCAGCCACATCCCAATGACTGGCACAGCACACTCTGCACGGAGCCAGTCCTCTTGCCAGAGCATCATGAAGAGGAACGCGCTGGCAGCTGCTCGTTGCCTGTCGAAGTCCATGGCAGGATGGGCGACTGTGGTAGCACTTGCCATTCTGAGAGAACACGGCAACTTCTTGTCGCGTTTCGGGGTCGAAGATATGCGGGTTGTGCGAAACCGATCGCACAAAGTGAGCACGTACTGCACGTGCCTGAGCATCTCGTTCACCTCGATTCTTCCAGACGCCTTTCTGCTTTTGGTGGGAACTCATGGATTGCGGAGGTAGACTGCTCGAGGATTGCGGGGTCATACGATCTGAGGATTGCGTTGTCATACGATCTGAGGATTGCGTGGTCATACGTCTACAACAAAGACTCGGCAGGTAGTAGAGCATGACACCCAAGAGGAACATGAAGAGAAAGAGGAAAGTTGCTCCTCCCACCAACCACCATAGGCTGGTCCCATCTGCTGCATCCGTAACCATCAAGCCCTCCATGACGCGATACACCAGGAGATTCCACAACATTCCAACCAACTCGGGAAACTCTTCTCCACCTTCAGGGCTCATCTCGGCAGCACCCACGGGGCTCGTAGAGGTCGCATCTGCAGGTCGCTGCTGGCTCAAGGCTATGGCTGCATACACAACGGATCGCACCAAGTTCTCTATGTCCATTGTTGATGCCACTCTTTGAACTTTGACATTAGGAGGTTTGGAAGACTGAATCAAGCCATCGTTGTTGTACATACCGGCCAAACCCAACAGATATTTGATTCTTTCTGAAGACAACACTTTGGTAGCTATATCAGCTGGATTCTGCAAGCCGGCAACCGGTTTCACTGAGAGGAGCTTGGCTTTCACCAACCCTTGACACCAAAGAAGTCTACAATCCAGGTGTCGAATCCTCGACACCCCGCATTTCACCAGCAAGCTGCGAGCCGCTGAGTTGTCTAATCGCACAACCAGATCCACGGGGTGTTCAGACAGACTTTCGAGGATGTTCTTCAAGAAGAGCGATTCGGCAATCACTGAGGTGGCTGCTGTGAGTTCTGCTTCACATGAGGAGAGACTTATGGAGCACTGTCGTCTTGAATAAGAAAACATCAGGTTCCCATCCAAATACAGGTGACCGCAACTTATCGATTTCCTGTCTGCACTAGATGCCCAGTCCGAGTCACTGATGGCTTCCAACAGTCGAGCTGGCCGTCCTTCGCCATCTCCTTGTACATCTTCTACCTTGGGTTGGGTACGTAGGGATTCCTCCATCACTGATCTCCCAGGCCGACTCCAGCGCAGCACAAGACAATAGTCTCTCGTGGCATACAAATACTCAGTCAGGTATCTCAGGTGCTTGAGCTGCTTCACCGTAGGCTTACTCATCCCACGAGCTAGGAATCCTACACAATGTTGAACGTCAGGTCGTTCCGGACTGATGTACAGCAAACATCCTAGTGCTGCTCTGTATCGCCCAACATGTGCCTCGTCCAAGTACTCCGACTCGTCTTTCATTGTCAAGTCAGAAGTCGCTGGTACCTTACGATGACGGGGATTGGTGATGCCCAAGATGCTAACCACCTTCTCAATATACTTTGCGTCGATATGGATTTTCAACCCATCTTCTACCACTTCCAGAGTCCTTTTGAGGAATTTCAGCTGGTCGCCAATGTTCTTCACAACGGGGCTCACTTCTAGGCGGTACTTTTGTTGCAAGACACTCACAGCACTGTTGACACGATCTTCACATCCACCAAGAAGTCCATCATCTACATGAATCGTGGCACCAAGTTTCTCACCACCATATACCACGGGGCACGCCACGTTGCTCTTGAGATCGCAGCGAGCCAAGTCCTCACTCAGTTGGTCATGCCAATGGACGGGAGCTAACTGTTGACCAGGCAAACAATTTCGTACCTTGTAAATCGTCCCGTTGAGCTCTACGAACAGTTCTTCTTTCTGATCTACAGTGAGGAAAGCATCCTTCACGTCAAACGATCGTAAGACATAGTCCGGGGTGCTCACAAACATATGCGGAAGCACGCGCAGCATCGAAGGACATGTACTCGGTGCATATGTGTCCTGTCGGAACGGTGACCATGCTTTGAGTTCCTTGCAGACCAAGCGTGCACGACGTTGCCACTTGTTTGACCGAAAACGCCAGTCGTACACATGACGTGTCTTGAGGAGCTTCTCTTTGGGAACATGCACCGCTTCATCCATCGCTTCCAACACGGACATCTCTAGTAGTCGATGCAACTCATCACTCCTGGACACAGCTTCTACTCCCTCTAGCTGTTCAGGGCTAAGAACAGGAGGTCCTTCATTTTCATCTTGGCCTTCCCACAACTTTTCGGGGTCATTCTCCGGGCTGTAGTCCATCCAGTCATCTTCCTCGAAATACCGAGCATCAAACTCTGCCATGTTCCACCAATCATCTAGGTCTTCATCTCCCACATAATACTCGGCATCTCCTACTTTGACTGCTCGAACACGCTTCGATGGACTTTCACTTCCCGCATAGAACGGTGGAGCCTGCAACCTCTTTTCACCCTTAGGCTCTTGAACAGACTCTGTCGGTGCATCTTCCCCTCCTGTCTCCATTGCTGATCCTGAGGTACGTACTTCTTTCGACCCTGGAGCTTCCTCTTCCCTTTCTGTTCGTTCACGCTTTCGATCTTCATGGGATTCCGGTCTTCTCTCACTGTCGGTGGTCATCTTATCTGAACTGGCACTTGCCGAAGACTCAGGGTCAGAGGCAGCTTCATCCACGGGTCCTTCTGTCACCACAGGCGGTGGTGGCGTTGGTGATGGAGCCGGGGCGACCGACACCATAGGTTCCAGCATTGTCGCTGGCTGTGGAGCTCGTTCTTTCAAACCTGGGATCACTTTGAGACCCATCCCTGCGAGACCATATCTCCAAGGCTTTCCTTTGAACTCTTTCAGCAAGATCCGATCCCATTGTTGTGATTCAGGTAGGCGCCGAATTGTCGAACTCAAATAAATTCCCAGGGCGGTCCCGCAGATATTGAGGTCATTTTGCATCGTCTTCCCCAAGAAAATTCCTTTAACAAACTTCTCCTTGCCCTTTCGTCTATGAGGATCGGACAGACTGAAGTACACGGTCTCACCCCACATGGCAAGTTTCCCTCGATACTGCACACCAAAGGCACGTTCATACGGTGTAGTTCCCGCCATCACTGCATACTGGTTGTGAAGGGTAGCAGCATGTGTATACACCCAGGGCACAAGGTCGGACTCGTTGCTCAAGACATACCCACACTCGCGAACTTGTTGGAGCAAAGTACTTCCAATGTCCCTCAAACTCAAGATTGCCTGTTCAGCTGCCCCATTGGTTTGGTGTTCGTGGGGCTGCGACGGGGACTTCCTAGTAGCAAGCTTTGCAGCGGTCCTGGCAGTCACGATCTTGTCCATGAGCATTGTCATCGATGGTTCATTGTCTCCTCGTATCTCTACCTCGGTTCGTCCAAGATAGGACAAGAAGGAAAGCACTTCTTTGGCCGCGTACTGAAGACACTGTTGCTCTTTGGACGGAAGGGGAACACCGTGCAGCATTCCAGTTGATCGATCCACACAAACCAAGACCATCATTTTTCCTTCTTTGGGTTTCAACTGAGAAGTCCTCATGCAATCCAAAGCGTCACCCTCCACCGAGCTATACATCAGATCCAAACTCATCACTGGCCAACTGCCTTCAGAGCGATGCGCTTCACCACCTTCACGATGACCATCCCTTCTCGCTCGGGTAGATACGCAAAGAGGACACCAGGACTTGTATGGAATGTGTGTCAAACGATGCTTGGCCAACTCTTCAGGGCTCGGTTCGTGAGGAACGGCTTCAGGTTTTGGTGTTCGAACAGGCAACGATGCTGCTTCTTGAAGGGCCAACTCATCCTCCAACCTTCTTCGCCAAACATGTTTTGTAATCCTCTTGTACAACACCGTCTTGGAACCGCTAGACCCAATGCCCAAAGCTTTGCAAACCAACTTCAACTCGGTCGCGGTAGAATTGGCTGACAACCTTCTTCCCTCAACCTCTACTTCTTCTGGAATGGGTCCTTGCAACTCGATCCCCGGTGCAGCTGGAGCCACTTCGGCTTCTCCATGTTCGGACAGATTGGCATCATCCGGCATGCCTTCGTCAGCTTGAAGTTCCACTGGCAACCTGGGTTCACGAAGCACGGGATTCGAGGCAAGGGGCTGAGGGCCATGATCTTCCAGGACAGTCATACCAACATCTTCGGGATCACTCGGGCGCCGTTGTATCATCGTTAGAGTCTTCGTGGCATAGAGCACACCCGGCAAACTCTCTTCTAAATCTTCCAACTTGCTCACATCTTGTTGAAGCTCTACCAACTCCCATCTCCCAGCAATCTTTACCGCCGTGGTGCGGTACTTCCAACGATCAATGCTCATCACAGGTGCTGGGCTCACATGAAGTGTAGAGTCACACAGGCAAAACGGATCACCATTGGGCATGAACTTCCACTGGTGGCCTAGCGCATCGGTCTTCCCCTCCTCACCAGCACTCCAAGTCTCGGGGTCCACTGCGAACTCGACGAAAGTGCGCTTACCTTCGAGAAGAGGTCGCACATGACTAGTGAGGGGTTCATCGGGACGTTCTTGATGGGATTCGATTGGGCTCATGTTGACTGCAAAGACCGACGCTTGGACTGTCAAGGAGTTCTTCTTGAAGTTGACTGGTACTGCCACTTCTTCATTGCAAAGACAAAGCATGTTGCTCCGATGGTCCAGGGTCCACCCTTGTTTGAGCAATCTCCCTAAACTCAGCAGAGGACTCCCAACCGTTGAAGCGTGAAACCGTTCTTGAATGCATGCAGGGCCCATGTCCAAGGTGATAAGCCGGGTACCCAAGCTGGGCATTTCAACTCCCTGTGCATCCAGCATTTGGACTTGACCCTCTGACGTGGCCTGTCCGATGCCCATGTGAAGCCACGACTCTGGCATCACCGATACATCTGCCCCAGAATCCAGCACAACCTCAAACGACGAGTAGCTTTGGCCTCCTTCTTCTTCAAGGCCTCCATGTTCCAACACGCGGACGTAGTTCTGGGACCACTCGTCGTCTCCTGGCAAGGCATCTTCACAAGTGAGATCGAACACTTCAAGGGTCTGGGGAAGCTCTTCACAGGGGCATTCGTCATCTTCATCTAGCGCATACCACTCCACACGACGACACCACCAGGACTCTTCATCCTCAACATACTCTTCACCCTCAGACACAGTCTCCATGGCATACACAGTGCAGGATCTCTCACACTCATCGGCAAGATTGAAAATTCTCTTCACGGAAGCAGTTTGAGGGCGGCTTGAGGACATGGTCGTGGTGGAGTTCGTACTGGAGCTTGCGTTTGAGGTGCCTTCATCCACCTGATTCACCCGGTTCTTGTTCATCCAACACTCTTTGCTCCAATGTCCAGGTTTGCCACAAATCTTGCAGTTGTTGTAGGGCACATTGTCCTTGCGCTGCTCTCCTTTGCCTTTTCCTTTGGACTCTTTGCCCTTGCCTTTGCCCTTGTCTTTGCCCCAGAACTTGCCTTTTCCTTTGGAATACTCCTTGCCTCCTTTCCCATTGTTCCGCCAAGAATGGTTCTGGTCGTAGTTGTTGTTCTGAAAACGATCTTTTCCTCCCTTTCCATGGTACCCGCCTTTGTGGTCCTTGCCTTTGCCTTTGTACTTGCCTTTCTCCTTTCCTTTTCCTTTCTCCCAGAAATCATTCTCAGCAGCGTTCGCTCACTCTGACGGCCACGCACTCCAAGGAGGCGGGTGTCTGCTGGGTGCTTGGCTATTTGTAGCCTGCGGCCACCCGGAATGGCGCGAAGCTTCGCAGCTACCCCTTGCGATGCCTGCTCGGGAATCAGGATGTGGTCAAGTTGGCTGCTTGCCTTGACGACCGGGGTCCGGTACGCGGCTGCCCTTTTTCAGCGGTACTGAGGCCTCCCCAAGAAGGTCGGCTACGTCGTCGTATAATGGGGCGGTTGTGCCATGTCCAGTGAGCTCGGATCATCACATTGAAGGGTTGGCATTTGTCTGTGCTCTCGATCAGGGAGAGTCTGGCCGCCTCGTCGTCGCAACAGTGTATGTACACGTCCTGGATGAGCAGGCGAAAAGACCAGGGCTGCCATGAACGCCGCCCATGCTTTCAGTTCGTAATGAACGACTGGTTTCTACTGAATTGTCGTAGGATCCTTGCCGTCCTTGCCAGTATTGTGCCGAAGCAGTAGACTGGGTACGACAGTCGTCGTCTCCTGCGAAGCATATCGCAACAGCCGGTGCATCCTTCGGGCCCCATGTAGGAAGATCTTCCTCAGCTGGTCGATGTTTCTTGTCACCGAGGTTGAAGTGTACGTCGCTGTAAATGATGGTGCCAAAGGTTTGAAATTAATGTGTTTCGGGAGTGGCATGAACGCTTGTGAGAGCGCGTCTTGTTCCACAAACGTCAAGCATCCTTCTGGAGCATGTTGTACGAAGTGGAAAAACGGCATAGATATCAGTGCGTTTCTGGGCATGGTCCGAGGGCAGGGGGACGGAAGCCTTCTTTCTTTCTTCCTTCCTTCGTTCCGGCACACCTAACCTTGAAGGGGTCGCCCCGAGCATGATCCAGTCGGTGCGAAACTAGCTTGCATGTGATGCTTACTTCGAGAGCCAAAAGCCTTGTATCGAGCGTAAAGCTTCAGAGCAAAATCTACATGGAAAATATGGGGTAAATGGGTAGTTGAAATACTTGCACAACAGCTATGTGTGACACGAGTGGTGTACAAAATTGAAGTGAGAGCACTCTACCCTATCTGTACATGCTCAGGGGTGGTGACCACGGAACCTGGCAGTAGTGAGTGAAACGAGTGAAGGGGGCGGAGGCCGCTGACCCGCAAGAGTAGGGGGCGGTGACCGCTCACCCTGTTGACGAGGTTGGTGGTGCATCAAGTAGTGGGTTAGCAGCAGAACTATCACTGTAGCTAGGCGTGTCAATTTTGGAGTAGTGGCAAACATAGACTTGGGCATACAAGGTTTTCAGGAGTTTGCGGGTCACCTTTTGAGCAAGTTTGTTGTCATCGTGTATGTAGGCCGTGGCTCCCTCAGTAAATGTGACTGCGCGGTAGTGACCAGATTGAGGAGTATCCCCAATATGAAGGATTGCAGCTCGTAACTGATAACGAATGGTTCTCCGCTGCAAGCTGTCGGCGTGAAACACTGGAATGGAGAGGGTTTCAGCGGGCACAACTGGGGTAAGAGATTTGGTGTAGACACCGCCAACCTCCCGAAACCTATTTAGCTGTAGCAAGAGCTCACTGGGACCAGTCACAAGTGCGGGCGGGGCTGCCTGGGACTCCCATGCATCGATCAAGCTCTGCAACGCATACTCCTGCTGAGTCAACAGAGGCTCGGGCAGCAAGATGGGCCAGGTGGTGCCCCGATCTGTGACCTGTACAGTACCATCTACTTGCAGTCGAGTTTGCCATTCTCCACGCATAGTGACTGTGAGTAGCTCATTTGCTAACAAGTGTTTGGCAAATTCCGCCACGTCATGTTGCATGTTTGGTCGTGCCCAGTTTCTTAGCGCCTGTGTCCAGGGCATGAGCGACCACAGCTTAGCAGTCTTCTGAGTGACAAGCCAGGACGTCAGCTTTTGAAGATCGGCGCGAAAGAACGCTGGCTGCCTGAAGCTTTGTGCATGCAACAGGGTGATAAGGAGGCTGTTGGCGTAACAGTGATTGCCAGGATTTTGAAGTTTAAGCCGCCTTAGAGCTTCTCTGCAATCTTCTCCAACGCATTGGCTAACGCTCCTCGTCCCAGTTTGTCGTGCCTCAGGGACGTGCCCGCCAGGTGCCAGATGGCTTGATGACAGTACTTGTCCAAGAGGGCATAGACTTCGTGCGAGGCTTGAGTGCGCAGGCCCACTTCCAAGACGAACGGAACTACTTCCCCCTGCATGTCCGGCGTGAGCTTCCTCTGGGCATGGAATCGTCCCACCACCCGTGGCTGCAGGATCAGTCGTTGCAAGATCGCGAGATCCTCTTGTACAGCTTTCGTGGGGATTGGCTCTCGATCGTCCTTGTTCTGGTAAATCTTTTCCGCATCGTCCCACATCATGTAGTGAAAGTCCCCTGCTGGGTTGACCAGCTTGGCGGCCTGCGCTTTTGCGTGAAGAGTCGGATCCAGGGACTGCATCCTGGTTGCAACCGCTTCCAAGAGGCAGCCCAGAAGGACCACCCGCAAGGGTGGCTGAGTAACCTGAGCCGGGGTCTGTTCCTTCTTGGTTTTCCATTCCGTGCCCACTCTCAGAAGGTCGCTGAGCACTGTCACTTCCGGCGGACTTGTTTTCATGAAGAACACGTAGGAGGTGTCCTGTCGGTGTATGGCCAGCGCATCTTCGTGGCGAAGTGACAGGGTCGTGATGAGCTTCACTGCCTCCCGCAGTTGTCCTCCTCCTCGTTGTCCAGTGAAGAAGGCCCGGAGGCCTGTCTGGCCTGCTTCGTGTAGCCCAAGTTTCCCTTGCCCCGATCTCCTCGCTGCCTTCCCTTCTGCCGACCTGAGTCTTCCGCCCTGTCGCCCTGTCTCTTGTGCCCGACCTCTCCCGGCTTGTTCATCATGGACTTCCACAGGTCCATCTCTGCGGCTCCTCTTGTCAGTTCGTCCATTGTCACCTTTGGCCTTGTCTGAGACACTTTTGTGAATGCCCAAGCGATCTTGTCGATGAAAGATTAGGGCTACACGGATCAGGACTGAGCACCCCACAGCTGCACGATTGTGCCGAGTGCCACAGTGCTGGCAAGGGGAGCGAATGCCTTTTCGCGTAAGCAAGAAATGCTGATACTGATCAAAGTGAGCGGCTTCATCGGCATGTTGAGCTGTGATATGCTGATGCAGCATGGAGGTTTTTGCCATCCAGAGGTTGCATATGGGGCAATAATGCAAACGACCTAGGACCCGGATTTTCTGCGCAAGTTGTTGCCAGTCATCTGTCAAGACCGTCTGAAGGAAGTCTGCATCCTGCAACAGGGGTGCAGGATCTGGCGGGTATGGCGGCAACTCCGGGACGCAACCTAGGTGTAGCACTGGACAGCACTGCCTGTTAAGGTGTGCTGCAAATTGCGGCCAGGACGAGAATTCATGCCTACAGTGGCGACACGTCGGCATACCATCGTGTGCATGTTGCATATGTGAGGCTTTGCGTAGCGCATACGTGCCGTGGACCGGGCTGCAGGCACCCATCCTCAACGAGATCGCTATAGCGCTCGCATCCTATTACGACTCCGCGCAAGTGGACGCCCTCATTGCGGGCGCGGCTATTTCCAACGCACCCGCCTGGAGCGGGAACACCACCTGGGAGCTGCTGACCGGGCAGGCCCTCCGGAACCTGCACTTCGCCGGGCCCCTGGTGGCCAGCCTCCAGAACTCGGGCAACACGCTGCAGATCGAGTGCCAGGCCTACGACCAGAGCCAGACGTACACGCAGGCCGAGGTGGACGCCCAGATATCGAGCGCCGTGGACGCCCTGAACGTATCGCAGTACGCCACGCAGGGCGACATCGACAGCTCCCTTGCTTCGGAGCTCACCAACTACTTGGGAGCAGGGCGAAACCTCGGCGGAGATCGCCAGCCAGATCAGCTCCTCTGGCCTCCTCACCGAAGCGCAGGGCGACGCCCGGTATCATCCCGTCAACGGCAACGCCGGAGGGGGAGGCATCATCCCTATGGTCCTCGACAATTTCACGCCCCGAATGATAAGGGCGCTGCTGCCCCAGGCACCCCTGGGAGCGAACCTGATTCTGGGCAACTCCGCCACGGTGCAGCTGACCTGCGACTGCTACAGCAAGAGCGAAAGTGACGGGAAGTACTTCTCCAGCAGCGACTTCACGCCTCTGGACTCCCGGTATTTTCCCACGAACGGGAACGTGGAGGGTGGGGGCATCTACACCCTGGTGCTGGAGCAATTTACGCCACGAATGGTCAGGGCCCTCCTCCCCCAGGCGCCCCTGAGCGCCACGCCCATCCTGGGCAACGGGGCCACGCTCCGTCTCAATTGCGACTGCTACAGCAAAGCCGAGAGCGATGCTCGCTATGCCCTGGCGGGGGCACCACCGTCGGATCCCCTGCTCGTCAATGACGCGCGAGCCAACGGAGCCGATTTCTTGACGCTGCGGGGCGGCAGCCTGGGCACCGAGTTCGAGGCTTCCAACGGGGCCGCCGTGGCCGACCTGTCCTCGAGCCAACTCAGCCTCAAGACAGGCGTCAACCTGCTGACCATGGGCCGCATCTTCGCGGACTCCAGCCTGGGCATCGCCACGGCCGGCAGCTTCCAGGCGGACACGGTGGAGCCCCTGCTTCCGACCAATCAATTCCTTAACTTGAAGGCGGGCACCGTGTCTGTGCGTGTCACGGACCAGGCGGACCAGAGCCTCTGCACCTTTGCCACGTCGGAGGTGCACTCGGTGGCCCCGCGGCTGCGAGTGGACACGGAGCTCTACATCGACGACGCCACGGGCACGGCCACGGGGCTGGTGACCAATGCCATCTCCACGCGGGTCCAGGACACGGAGCTCACCATCACGGGTGGCTCTGGAGGCACCGTCGTCAACGCCGCACTGGATGTGCAGGGCACGCTGACCTCGGGGAGCGTGGAGCTCAGCACGGAGCTGCGGGCGCCCACGGTGCGGGCGAGGCCCACAGACGACTACCTCACCCTCACGGGCGGCACACAGGGCACTTACCTCAACTCGGTGCTCTACACGGCTTCCGCCATCAGCGCAGACAATGGCATCATCTCGAGCCCCCCGAACCTGGAGCTCATCGGCGGCACGCAAGGCATCGTCTGCACCTCCAAGGGCCTCAACGTCACGGAGAACTTCCCGCTCTCCGCCAACCCGACGGACGGCAACGTGGCCGTCCGCGTGGAGAACACGGCCCCCACGGGCTTCGCGATGCTGGAGACGGCTGCACGCTCTACGCACCCAACCAGGAGATCTGGCTGCAGAACCGGACCTCCGGAGCCGCGCCCCTCGTCGTGGAGACGGACTCCGACGTAACGGTCAATTACTCGTTCAACAACCTCAGCGACGAGAAGGTGAAGACCAACATCGCGGACGCTGACCTGGAGACGCTGCAGGGCATCTTCGACGGCGCCCACCCGAAGACCTACGACCGCACAGACATCGAGCACCACAACCGCCTGGGCTTCCTGGCGCAGGACTTCCTCGGGGCGGGGGTGACGGGGAAGACGTACCGGGACGGGGAGGAGCTGTTGACGCTCGACTACAGCAGGCTCACGGCCGTGCTCTGGGGCGTCGTGAAGGGGCTCCAGGCACGTGTGGAGGCCCTGGAGAAGAAGCCCAAGAAGAAGTAAAAATGGCGGAGGAGGCGGCGCTCCAGTTCTTCCGGGGCCTCGCGGAGGAGTACAACGTGAGAGACCCAAGGAAGCTCTACCAGATAGCCCGCAGGGACCACCCGGAGCGTCGGGACCTCACGGCTGCACGGGCCGGAGCGGCGCTGCGCACGGATGTGGCTCGGCAGGCGCTAGCGCCTAAGCCCCGCAGCCTGGGCAAGAGCGCAGCAGAGGGTCCCAACGATTGGCTGCAAGCGGACCTGGTGGACTTTAGCCAAAACACTCGATACCGGGATCGCTATGGGCTGGTGGTGACGGACGTGTTTACGCGGGAGGTGGCCACTAAGGCCCTGCCCGACAAGCGAGCCGAAACCGTGACCCAGGCCGCCGCCGACATCATCCCCGAGCTGGTGGAGGAGGAGGGCAACTACGTGGTGACCACAGATATGGGGAACGAGTTCCAGGGCCTGGAGCAGGCGACAGAAGCGGCCCGAGGACCGCAATGCCACGGCGGTCATTGACCGAGCAATCCAAACGCTCAAGAGGGACCTGGCGGGCAGGGCGGCCCGGGACGGGGAGGCTGGGCGGAGAACGTGGAGCAGGTGACGAGCGCATACAACAAGCGGCCGCACGAGGCAGTGCACGCGGCGCCTGAGGATGTGGAGAAGCAGCCGGCCACCACGTTCCGCGTGTATCAAGACAATGCGCAGAAGTTCAAGCACAACGACGCCCTGACTAGGAGCCGGCAGCAGCGGCTGCAGGAGGCGGGGCCTTCCGAGCCCCGACCAATGCAGCGAGGAGCTTCCAGCCCCAGTACGGGGCGGCCAAGGACCTGAGCTCTGTTGACTCCATGGTGGCGCGGGCCACGGATGGCAGCGAGACCCTGCTGAAGCACGCCTTGCCCGTGCCTCGTGGAAGTGCGGAGCCCAAGGCGAGACTCACCCGCCCGCCTGTGCCCTTGGCCGTCCGGCAGACTTCAACCCCGGACCCGTGGCCCCGCCGTGACGATAGGAGCCTTCTGGACTCATGTGGATGTGGGACTCATGTGGGCTCATGTGGGACTCATGTGGACTCATGTGGGACTCATGTGGGCTCATGTAGCACTCATGTGCGCCAAAACGAGCAGCTACGTCCAGAGAAGCATTCAGAGTACCGAACAGCGTCTGTTTGAACTAAAAAAACAAGCAACAACCAGGTACTAGCCGCAGGGAACTCGCAGGGCAGCCTAGTAGGGATTAGGGGCAGAGGGTTCGGGCTGGAAGGTTCGGGGACTTAGGGTAACCGGGGGCTGCAGACCACGCGAACCTGGAAGACGCCGAACCGACCTGCGCACACAAGCCGGTTCTCGGTTTAGCCGCATGCCATCCGACGAGCAAGGGAGGGGGAGGCCTCGTCCAGCAGCTCGACCTGAACAGCTTGCAATCTCAAAGCAACGCAAACATGCACAATGACTCAACAGAAAGGGGCTCCGGAATGTTTTTTCACAGCCCGAGGTCGGCCGGTATGTCATCGACGCCTGTCCAACGTCGGAAACAGCTGTACACAGGGGAGTTTGCAAGCTCGAAACACCTCTGCACCTCCAAACGGCATTCAAACCTATAGGAAGCGCCGCAGAGGACTAAAAGCCCATGTAAAAGCCTTCGCGAAACACTAGGCGAACATCAAGTCGAGCTCGCGCTCCATGAGCGCCAGCGTTCTCCGGATATCCTTCTGCGGATCCTCCATAAGATGCCTGAGCATTGTTGCCACAAAATCCCGAGCTTGGCGATGACCTTGCTGCACCTCGACCCGCCGCACCATCCGGATGAGCCTCCTCCGCTGCTCGCCCTCAAGTATGGCGAACGTCTGCTGCATGGGCATGGCCGCGGGCTGGGGATCGGTGTCGTACGCGTGCCACACGAAGCCTCGCAGGAAGAAGTTGGGGTGCTCTCGGAGCGCGTCCACGCCGGATCAGGCCAAGGTTCAGGGCGTCCGTCGTCTCACGGCAGCCGCGCAGAAAAGGCTGCAAGCTGCGCAGCATGCCCCGGCTGCAAATAGCCAGCCGACCCAAGACGCGCGCGGTCCCAGCGTTCTGCTCGACCTCCGGCAGCGTGACCGCGTCATCCGGAGCCTCGCCCTCATCCACATCCGCCGCGGTGAGGAAGGTGATCACACACTCCCATGCGGTGAGGCTAGCCATGGCTTCCAGGCTCGAGGGTGCAACACTGCGCATGGCATGTGGCTGCACAACTGCCGACTTGACTTACGACCTCGCGGCAGAGGGCGCGGCTCCACCAAGGCCCAGTCCCGTGATGGCGTCAGACCTGGGCGGCGGCGTCACTTGCGGGGCTTGTCGCTTCACAAGCGGGTCGTAGGCCTCTATCCCGGGCAGGTCGCTTCCACCATTTCCAGGTTTTCCAGGGTTTCCGGGAGGGTGTTGGGGGGGCCCACAAAGTCAACATGGAAAGCTGGAAACGGCCCAATCTTGACGTGCAGGAGCTCCATTTTTCCACGCTTTCCACACTTTCCATGTTGTTCGGAGTTCGCTTTTGAACCCTGCCCTTCGAGCCCGCTTTGGGTGTCCAGGAGCTCCATTTTTCCACGCTTTCCACACTTTCCATGTTGTTCGGAGTTCGCTTTTGAACCCTGTCCTTCGAGCCCGCTTTTGGTGTCCAGGAGCTCCATTTTTCCACGCTTTCCGCCCTTTCCATGTTGTTCGGAGTTCGCTTTTGAACCCTGCCCTTCGAGCCCGCTTTGGGTGTCCAGGAGCTCCATTTTTCCACGCTTTCCATGTTGACTTTGTGGGCCCCCCCAACACCCTCCCGGAAACCCCGGAAAACGTGGAAATGGTGGAAGCGACCTGCCCGGGATAGGAGCGGGGCACTCGACGGGCAAGAAAACCCCAAGCTTCAGACTGGCCCTGTGCGCACACGGAACACCACTATCAAAGTCCGAAAAAACCCTGAACAGAGGCACCAGCACGACGCAGGTTCGGACCTGAGCGAGGCGAAGGGGTTCAGTGACGGGGCTAAGAAGGCTCCCACAACAACTCCTACTGCACACAGACAGCCCGAACTTCCCAAAAAAAATTACTGCACATAAGGCTTGAAGCTGCACGGCTACACATACGGAAAGCTTGTTTGCACGGGCAGCGGCTCGGGAATCCTGTACTGGCGCCGAACACGCAGAGACTAAGGCAAAAGTTCCGCGGCAGCGGGGGTCCTGCACTGACCGCCACGCACTAAGCAACGGTTGTCTTCCAGAGATCACGAAGCTGGGCGGCTTTCCGCATCGGAGATGGTGCGGTTCTCCAAGACGGCGTTCTTCAGGATGCCGTCGGGGACGAAGATGGCGACCATCCTCTTGAGGATTGCCCGGCTGTCAACGTCGTAATGCTGCACGATGGGCGTGTCCTGGAAGTCCACGCAGAACTCCTTGGGGATGTGGGTTTCCGTGGCGCTGTGCATGGCCTGGAGCCCCCTGTGCACCTTGTCGACATCCTGAACTGTCATGATGCTCAGGCAATCCTGCGGGATTTGCATATCTGCGTACCGGCTTTGGAGCGTAGCCCGATCATCTCGGGAGATGCCTAAGAGCTGTTTCACGAAATCCGGGCCGCCTCCTTGACTTCCTACGTTTTGCCGGTTGGCGAGGAGGTCATCGAAGACCAGCGGTCTTCCGTCCTGAAGAAGATTGAACTGGTGCGCCTTACGGAGGCTGTCCACGGTGCCGGTGAAAATCATCTCGTCGATCTTGCCGTTCAGGACGTGCTTCATGTACCAGCCGGCCAATGCTCTGGCGAAGGGCGACTTGCCTCGACCTGGAGGCCCATAAAGCACGAGGGTCCTCTTCGTCTGGATGGCGGCGGCGACGGCCTCGTGCAAGGGCACGGACTTCTTGCGGCCACTCGGCTCGTCCCAAAACCAGCACTGGCAGGTCTCGTAATTGAAGTCGGCGATGGGCAGCGTGGACTTCGCAAGCATCGCCTTGGCCTCCTTTTCGTCATCGACGGCCTTGCGGAGCTTGTTGAGGGCCTCCCGCTGCACGTAGATGTACTCCTCCACGGTCCTGGCCTTGCGCTTGCGAGTCCGCAGAGCCGTGTCGCCTCCGAACCGGTCCTCCAGCTTGGCCATGTGGGACACGAAGCCGACGGGGTCGAGGTGATCCAGGCTTCGGAGCGCCGCCCGTGGGGAAAAGTCCTGCGCGCCCTGGTCCTTGGCGCTGTAGTAGGCCGCCTTCTCGAAGATGCGGATGTTTCCCCGCTGCCAGCCGCTCAGGAGGATCGCGGAGAACAGCATGGCCAAGCAGTCCTTCTTTACCTTGAAGACGTTGTCGGCCCGCACCGCCGCGCCCTTGTTCTTGCTCACGAGCAGGAAGTTCGTGGGATCGCCTTCGCGCAGAGCGAAGGCCATCGCGCCGTTCCACTCCGGCAACGGCACGACCGGAGTGTGAGCGGGGAACTCTAGCACGAGCCAGTAGGGATTGAAGTTCGATTTGTCCTTCTCGTCGCTATAGAGGCAATCTCGGAAGCGCTTGACGGCCTCCTGCGGGCAGTCCGGGCCGAAGTGCTCAAAGTCTTGCTTCGCCACCACATAGTCCCTGAACTCCTTGAGCGGCTCGCCCAGCTCTCCGTTCACAAAAGGGCTCCGGCTCCTCCTCGGCTGATGCCTCTACCACCGGCTCGCTGCACTGCGCAACCTCCGCCGCCGTGGGCTCTGCAATCTCGGCTCGCTGTGCGCAACCTCCGCCGCCGTGGGCTTTGCAATCTCCGGCTCGCTGCACTGCGCAACCTCCGCCGCCGTGGGCTCTGCAATCTCCGGCTCGCTGTGCGCAACCTCCGCCGCCGTGGGCTTTGCAGCCTTGATATTCAGAGCCTTCACGCGCGTCATGAACTGATCCAAACTTGCACGAGACGATGCGGCCTTCGGCTTCAGGATGGGGCACTGCAGGAGCAGAGGAGCCCCTTCCGAAAGCTCCCACTTCAAGAACGAAGCCGGTTGCGTGCGGTTTCGAGGCCGGCTGTGATAGCTCCACCTCTCTGCACTGCTTCAGCTCGGGCGGTATCGCTCGATCCAGAAGAGTCTCCAGATCACTCATCGGCCCCTGGCGAAGCGACTCCGGATCGCTGTTGCTCAGGTGGAGCTCGAAGCTTTGCAGCTCCTGGACGGCCTGGGTGGCCTGCGGGTCACTGCACCTGTCCGGGTGCACCAAGCGCATCATCTGCCTGCAGCAGCTCTGCGCCGAGCCTGGAAAGATCCTGAAGCCACACTTTTGGCCTACGCGGTGCTCAGGGCTCAGCACGAGCTTCACCGCCAGCGCCCGCGCCTCACTCGAGAAGCTCATGACGACCCTTCGCCCAGCTACGGCTCTGGATGCAAGCAAAATGCTGCGAACGTCGAAAACATGCCAAGCAGACGGCTTCAAAGAGGCAACGGACAGAGCAGGACCGGGGCTTAGGCGATCGCCCGAAGATGCCGCGGCTAGTCGAGAGGACCTGGGCGGCGCGAGGGCTCGGGGCTCCCGAGCGGGGTTCGGGAACGCAGGGCACTCTCGTCTTACAGGCGGGATGGGGGCGCACACTCAGTCAGCACCACACAGATGCACTTGCAGGGCAGATGGGGGGCAACCTACAGCGGGGCCGACGGGCTTCGGGCCGACGTCGCCAGCCACATCACCTGAGCAAGAGGGTGGATACAGGGCATGTGGGGATATAGGGTACGCAGGGCCCTCAAGGATGCAAAATGCGCAAAGCTCTTCGCGCTCGCAGCACAAATCCCAAGGCCCTTGTTTCAACTCGACCAAAATGTGACAGGCTCGCGACGCCGCTCTGTACCACGGCGCACATGGCACCCCACTGCACGGGGTCCAAGATTGCCAAGCCCTACATCGCACCCCAGTGTACGGTGGTGCCATCGCCCAAAATTGCTACGAAGAAGCGCCGACCCGAACTCACGTGGATGACATTCCGCAGCTGATCCCGCACTGCGCTGGATTCTCCTCCAGCCATGGCATCGCCCCAGGTCACCACGGAGCCATCAGGATTGCTGCGAAGGCGCTCTCTGTGGCCTGAATGCACCTCACGTTCTGCACCGACGGCCCATTGCCTCCATGGTCGGCATCGCCCCAGGTCACCACGGAGCCGTCTTCCAGGAGGGCCGCAAAGGCCTTGGCGTTGGCCTGGATCTCTCGAACCTTCACCAAGCGGTCCCGCACGGCCTCGCAGTCTCCCCCACAGTCAGCATTGCCCCAGGCCTGCACAGAGCCGTCTTTGAGGATCGCGGCAAAGGCCTCATCGGTCGACTGGATGGCCACGGCGTCCACGACGAAGTCGTCTCGTGATCTCAGGCATACGGAGCCGCTGGACGTGATTGCGGCGAAGGCAAACTTGGTGGCCTGTATGTCGACGACATTGGTAAGGCCCTCCTCCAGAAGGTCATCATCCGCAGACCAATAGCCGTCGCCGCCTGCATCCAGATCGCCCCAGCAAGACACCGTGCCATCAGCCATAATCGCCGCAAAGGCCGAATCCGTCGCCTGGATCTTCACGACATTCTTCGGCTCCGGGTGGGCCAGGTTGATGTCGCCGCCCTCCTCGGGGTCGCCCCATGCCACGACGCTCCCATCCGCGCGAATCGCGGCGAAGGCCCCCCCAGTGGACTGGATGGCGATCACATCGCTCAGGAGTCGAGGTACGGGAGGATCCCCTTCGCCGGGCAACATGGGTGCCAAGCCGCCTCGATCCATGTCGCCCCAGCACTCCACCACGCTGTCGCTCGTGATGGCCGCGAAGGCGCTGTAGGTGCTCTGGATCTCCTTGACGTCCGTCAGGTAAATTTGGGGCCTGCGCTTGCCACCATAAGCGGTATCACCCCAGGCCTCGACCGATCCATCTTCCAGGAGGGCGGCGAAGGCCCGGTCGGTGCACTGCAATGCCCTCACGTCTTGCTCCCAGCCGCGGCCACCAAAAGCGAGGTCCCCCACGCTCTCCGCCTCGCCGTCACCATGCAGGATCGCGTACGCGTTCACAGTCGCCAGCACGGAGGGTAAGATCGCCTGGTACGTCAGAGTCTCGCCCTCGTACCTCGCTCTCTTCACCTGGACGTCCGGCTGGAGCTCCGACGCAGGCACCAGGCGGCCGCGGCAGGCGCCCAGCGCAACTCGGGCTTTCTCGGCCAAGTCACTCAGGCTCTCATGGTGTTC